AGCAGGCTCCTACAAGGTCACGCGAGGACAGACGCACAGACGTGCGTAAGCGAGCGTGCCTACTGGGAGAGCCAATGGGGAGCAACGACGACTGCCCCTTAAGTAGCGAGGCCGCCAGCAGAACGGAGACTCTACTGCTGGACACGCTGCCGACCAGACGAGACTACTGGACACCCGGAACAGTGTTGATGTACTTGTACAAGTGACAGCAAAGTAACATCAGTTATCCTATCCTGTCATCTCTTCCTAACACGTACTGGGGGAAGATAACCGGTGTTGACACGGGAACACACCACGGTTACAACAGTGGCGATGCGTGTGATCACTCCAGACGCGGGTGAAGACACAAGATCATCACAAGCACTTCACAACCACTATCATAATACCGGAGCAGCCCTCCTCTAATCCGTGTTTCGCCCTATGATAACACGCACAGGTGAAGTCCATAATGGCATGGCCATTTTCATCCATCTGGCTTAGCTATCTTGCGCTCGAATGCATGATCCTGACGCACCTCCTACCTTCTTCAGAATCAGTCACTGATAGTCGTTGTTCTGCAAAATCAGGGCTCATGTTTAGTTAAGAGTGAGGCACTGGTTAAGAATAGTTCACACACTCGTAAGATGACAGCCTGATGGGTGTAGTTTGACGGGTGAAGACCAGGCACGATCCGTTTGCTCACCGTGCCCCCTACGACAGTACACGTGAAAACATATTTGAAATCGTGGTTCGTAATAAAGCAATTAGTAATCAGGAGTGCTCGAAAAATCCTTTCGGCTATAGTTGGCTTGGCTACGTTAAAGAAATTACAATACAGTGAACCATCTATTTGGTGTTCAGCGCGTCCTTTTTTAAGTGTGATACGTACGAGGTAACCCTCGACATATTTCAGCTCCAGTTGGCTTTGATGGGGACATTTGAGGGCTCGGCAAAGGGAGTATTTTTCCTACCAACTATTACCAGGCTGCATGTGAGAGTGACGGTCAGTGTAGATTTGTGATTTACATAGTAAGCAAAACCATGAACATACCTCCGTAAATACCTGGAGTCACATCCTCAATACTTCCCCGACAAGATCATAAAGATAACTGGTGCTGCTTTCACCTTGCATAAGTGCCGTGTCTCTCACGGATCCTTTCATGCTACTGTCGCCAAAAACGCTATCTGACTTTAGGTAGGAAAGTATATGCTGCACCAAGTCAGACCGAATGGGAGCAGTTGCGTTAGCCTAACTTGTGCTGCGCAAATATGATGACGACCAAATTAGTCACCCTAACTAGAGTCTTCCATCGCTTTACCATCTCTTGAGTTCTGGTCCATTGCAATCTTGCCTGAGCTACATAGTGGCAGCACACGTACCAGTTTAAAGCACAGACATGCGTATTTCGCCGATTTCATGCCAAGGTAAGACGCAGATGCGGGGCATTAATTCCACCATCATTCCTTCCTGCGTACGCCATGCACGTTTTGACATGCATTCTAATTTTTTTTTCAACTTTCGCTGTCTGATCCCTTAACTATTAAAGCACTATAACCTGTGTTAAATCTCAATCCTTCAGTTTTCGGTCTGAAATTGGAGTATTTATGAGG